ACCCTGCCCAATAGGGACCTTGGACACAACCCCCTTTCCAGGTGGATTTTATCAGTAGTTGAGGGTGAATAATCACAGTGAGATTCCTCACTTTGAGGGAGCCTGGATGGACAGAATGCAGAGAAGGCTCTGTGAGAAAGGCAGAGCATCCTACAGAGCTGACCTTGACTCTAATGAGAAGGGAAAAATAAGTAGTTGAAAAAAAACTCGCTAAGCAGGAATATCAGAAGTAGAGAATTGAAAGTGGCAGATTCTAAACCCATCGATTTTAGGAGGAAAAGCAGACACAGCATGTGACTCAGGACAGAATGCTTACCTGAGAAGTAGCCATTTCGGCTCTGGGTTGTTTCCTCAGGTGAAGTTCTGGGGAGGAATCACATCTGCATCTTGAGAATGTGCCCACAAGGGCGTCAGCTCAGACCCTTCATCTACTTCCTCCAAACTGACAGCCAGAAGGACCCTGAAATGCTGAGAAGGTCGCCCCTTTCTGTCCCTTCTCACAGGTCAGGGAGAAGAAGCTCCTAAGTGAAGACAGAACTGTCAGTTTTCTCTTTCCTGATTCACATGCTCTCCCCTTCCACAGATGTCCACAAATTCCTACAGCAATGAGAACGTCGGATGCTCTCCTGCCCCCCACAAATGCAACAGAGCACCTTGTTACCTCTCCTTGACCAAAGGTTTCTCTCAACAGTCAGAACTGTGTCTAGGAGCCCCCAGCTAATCCCTGGCCAACCTGAGAGTCACCTGAACACCTCACTTAACAATAATGCTCCACCCAGACCACTTATCCAACTCCCAGGGGGAGGGCACAGGTGACATCACTGTTTAAAACTCCCAAGTGACCTAGAAGGAACCCTGAGGGGAACCATTTAGCTTCAATGAGCATGCAGGTCCCTGGGGGATCAGGACCCACTCTAAGGAGATATGGTTCTGCAGGTCTGCAGGGGGCCCAGGAAATGGCATCTTTAAGTCTCCTGGGGGTGATGACCTGCTCCCCAGACCTGTTTTCTGTCACACTGGGCTACAGATCTCAGACTTCATCTCAGACTCTGCACTCCTGAGAGCTCAGGGGAGTGTGGGGGGTTGGCGTGGGAAATTCTAGAAGGGCTGGCTTCCCGGGTGTATTTCCTTCCTGTTCTCCAGGAAATCACAGAGAATTAGTTAAAAACCATAAAAAATGAACACATATTTTGGTGCTGAAAACTTGTAAACAAGAGTTAGCTATAAAAATACACTGATCCAATTATTTCACAGTTAATAGACTGGCTCCGTGGGAACCGAGTTTCAGGTCTGTCCGGTCCACCCTTCCACATTTTCAGAGAATAAACAAGGGGGACTTAAGGGACAGCTAGTTGGTAGCTCCCAGCTCACTAATTTCACAAATCATGTAAATTGAAGACAAAATCTGCTGAATATCAAAATAACTCACCACACTAGGTTCTCAAGCGGACATCCTCACCAAATGCACACTGAAGTGGCCT